CACTATTTCTTCTTAATAAAATCAAACTCAAAAGCCGAATCCTTGAAATTGCGATTATCTTCAAAGCCTTTGTCAAGTTGGCGTGACCAGCTTTCATCTTGAAAGTCTTTGTTAAGTTGGCTTGGGTCACATTGGCTTGCATCCAACTGCTCAACTCAAATTCATTCATCATCAAGAAATGTCAAATTTCTCAATTTAACAAACAATAACTAAATCGTTGAAGTAAATCTATCCATGTACGTACCTCGTTAACACTTGGATAATTGAATTGTGGTTGTTTCCCTCTTCCACAACTCGACAAAGCTGGAGAAACATGATGATCATGTTGATACTCTTGGCTTAAATGACCAAACATGACTTGTGGAAAATGTTGTAAATGAAAAGTTCTTTTGCTTGAATCACATAACATAACTTCAGGAAAGTGGAGTTCATTTGGTTCAAAAATCTACAAAATACAACATTTTTATCAATAAAATAAGCAAACATTGGTATAAATACTAAAACTAATATCTGATTCAACTTACCTTAAGAGGTTGGGAAGACCAATTTAGGACCGGTGAAGGAACCTCAATTCGCTTATTATTATTCTCAAACTTATCATCCTGAAGTAGCAATAATGGCGATTAAATCAAATAAGAAACATATAAGAATTATGAATTTGTTAATTGAGTGGTACGTAATTTTTCATGTTTTCACGATCAATTGTAACTTTAGACTAATGATCAATCAGCTCTTATATATTGCAAAAACTTCATGTTTTAAAGCCTGCCATTGACATCCTTTTAAAAAAAATAAAAATATGAATTATTAATCAAAATTTTCAGCTAACTTGTAGTGTTTCCACGACTGTATCCTTTTTCTTTGCCTTGCTTCTGCGCTTGGTCTCTTATCAGTTTGGTAAGTAATTCTTGCTTTTGATTTCAATCCTTTTATTTTGTTTTCATCAAGTTCAACCTCAATTTCACTTAGAGCCGTACTCATACTTTCAGCTACATCCTTAACTATGGGCATTACCCGATTAGCTTCTTCAACTTCTTTCCCCTTTCCCACACATGTATCAATCTTTTCTCCCATCTCTAAGAAACAATTCTTAGTATATGCATATCCCTCTTCACTTTCTGCAGCTTTTGTCACCAGCTCCATGAACAAATAAGATAGCTCTTTGTACCGGAACTTATCCTTTTTTTGTCATCTACGTTACCAACTCCCCCGCATACTCGTGACATTCCACTCTTGGCTGACTTTGTCCAACGCTTCAAAATGTATTGCTCAGGAATCCTCATAACATTCAAAGTCATTAACACTTTTAAGGAATGTGTGCATAGAATACCAGCAAATTCAAACTTTTTGCAGTTGCAACTTACAGAATCATCAGACAAATCATAAGTGACAGTATGTTTAGTTCGCCTTTGACATAGCTTAATCTTATAGATTCTTTGGCTTCTTGCTTGAATCTCACTCTCAATTTTGCTTTCAATTCCTTTCCGCAGCTCCTCATTAAATAGTGCAAAAACCTTATGCGTGTATACCTCAGATGCATGCTTCAAAATTGCTAAAGGTAATGTCATTGCGGGAGTACTTTGGCAACATCTAAAATCTTCGGTTGATTCTTCATTTTGACGATCATCTAGCAATCTCTGAAAGTGATGGAAAAAACTCAGCCAAATCATGTTTATAACTCACATATTTCTTCACAACAGCATTCATGCTCTCACTTCCTTGAGTTGTCATGATATCTGCATAAAAAGTTTCCCTGCCATACATCAATGCTCACTTTTCTTTCTTCTCAAACAATTTTTTTAACCAATCATTGTCTTACAAGTCATATTTTTCCAACATCTGGTTCCAAGCATCAAAGAAATCATCCACTTCTTCAAAGTCATATACACACTTGCTAAAATCAGATGCAAAAGTTTTTTGAACTTTGCAAAGACATCAGAAAGATGGGTTGTGGTATTTTGGTAAATGTGTCATATGCACAAACGATGGTAAGTTGTTGGCCACTGAGTAGCCAATGCTGTTGACATCGCTTGATCTTGATCAGTTAAAATTGTTCGAGGCTTCTTACCCATCACAGCTCTTGAAAAAGCATCAAACAACCATTCAAATGTTTCTGTTGTTTCATCGTACAATAATGCTGCTCCAAAAATTGAAGTTTGCTTATGATGATTTACACCGACGAATATTCCAATAGGTTTACCATCTCGGTGCTTTCTGTAGGTGGTATCAAATGACACGACATCACCAAATTTTGCAAAATATGTCCTCATTTTTGCATCAGCCCAGAATATATTTGTGATGAGATCATCTACATCCACTTGAATTGCACAATAAAAGTTTGGATCTTCCAACTGTGATCTTTGAAAGTATTCTAGGACACCTCCAGTATCTCTCTGCTTCATTGCTATTGTTCTCTTAGTTCGTAAATAATTTTTCAAATCATTGTGAATGAAACCAAGATTTTCTCGTCCACCACTCTTTTTTGCCATTATCTCTGTTATTTGTTTTGGTGCCACCCCACAGCTTTTGGCAATATCCACTTCAACTTTTTGAGCATCGGTCATTTTTCAAAAACAACTGAAATTCAAGCTGAATTAGACTCACTACCAAACGTAAAGTTTTTGGGCCTGTTACTCACACACCAGAAGATGTGCAACCGGTAGGATTTAAATGGGTATTTGTGCAGAAAAGAAATGAAAAAGGTGAAATTGAGCGATATAAAGCCCATCTTGTCGCACAAGGATTTTACCAAAGGTCGGGTATTGATTATGAAGAAACGTATTCTCCAGTGATAAATGCAACAACTTTTCGATATTTACTACATCTGGCAACAAGTGAGAAATTAGAAATGCGTCTTATGGATATTGTGACTGCCAATTTATGTGGCTCACTTGATAATGAGATTTACATGAAAGTCCCTGAACACTATTTTTACCGGTGATGGTCTCACAATTAACTTGCCTTGAGAACAAACAACCCATAAGAATTCATTTGATTGAAGAATCTTCTGACTCTTTAAAGAATGACCATAAAAATTCTCTAGTATTTATGCATCATAATGTAAACGGGATGGCCCAACCGGTCATTCCAAATGACGAAATCACCATAACTAGTAAACTTTGGGTTCACTGTTGTATAAGTTTCAACGGCTGTAATACATGTATAGTATATCTCATGAGAATATGAAGGTAATTTCTCTAAAACGGGTTTTCTTCCAGAAATTATATTTGTAATGTACAATTATTCAATATTATTTTCGCAATTTGTTTCAACATGATATCCATTTCTGCGAATATCTTTAAAACTCAACAAATTTCTTTGAGATTTTGAAGAGTATAATATATCATCAATGCAAAATTTTGTCCCTCTTGGGAGAATTATATTTGCTCTTCCGGAACTTTCAATTAATTTTGTACTACTAGATATAGTACTAACATGAGTTTTTTTCATTACGATGTACGAAAAATATTTCTTTTCTTTTAGTATGAAGTGTGTAGTTTCATTGTCTGTTGGACATATTTCTTTGCCATTGACCATTGAAACATCTATTTTTTTTTTAAGGAAATAATTTAAAAAGTTGGCTAGAACACTTTTGCGTTGATAATATATTATGAAAAAAGTTGTAAAGTAAGACAAAATGGATAAAAAAGGAATTGTATTAAGAATCTTCTGGAACTTTTGGTGAATGGTAAAACGACTTTTATCATTCACTAAAAGGAAGACAATAGAGAATAGGAGAATGGTCGTGAGACCTTTTGGTTTCTGTCTTTTCCATTTACTTTAACTTCTATTTATAGCCTTAGAATCAACTAAAATAATATATTACGTTAACTCCATGATTACATAATTACATAAGATAAGAGTTAGTAGTGGAGTTTTGCAATAAAAAAAGTTAAAACTATAAAGAGAACTAAAAACAACATCCACAATTAATATGTTTCATAACAAACTAGAATTATGTTGGCCCAAAATTAAAATCTTATATGTTGTGGCGAGCAATGCAATTAAACTAGTTGATGACATGTCCTGATTGATACAACTAATGAAAGATGGAAATACAAAAATATTACTGAAAAATCTTAATTTGAAGCATAAAGTGTATTTACATTTATTAAATTTAGAATCCTAAATCCTAAACCCACACATCCTTTAACAAATAATGACATAAATAGGAGGGGAGCGTATTTTTTGCTACAAAGTGTAAAGACTTTTCAACAGGACTAAAATATACTCTCTCCATTTTTCTTTTATAATCAAAACCAAGAAAATATTAATTAATATAGTTAAAATACAAAAGTAACTTTATTTATTTTCTATACAACTCATCACAAACTAATAAAAATTTATTATAAACATTGTTTCATTTCCAATGTAAGGGTAACATTGGTAAAAAGTGGTCAAATGTGACTCGATTTGTGAAAACGACATATATTTAAAAAAATTAATTAAACCCTAAAACAACATGTATTTCAAAATGGAGGGAGTATAATTAACTTAATTGTTTTATATAATAGCACCGAAGGGCTTTAATAAAAGTAACCAAACGTATATAAAAAGTTTTACTCCCTCCGTCCCATAATTATTGTCCACTTTCACTAAAATGAAAGATTTTATTTTTGGTCAAACTTTACTATATTTTGCCTTAAAAAACCGGATATACCCCTACATAAGTAATTGTTTAACCACTAAGATTTTATGGATAATGTTTTGTACTAAGGACAAATGTGTAACTTGATCCATAAAAAATCAAATTGGACAATAATTTTGGGATAAAATTTTTTGGGCAAAGTGGACAATAATTATGGGACCGAGGGAGTATTAATTAATTTAGAAATTCAGAAAAACTTATTATTCAGAATGACAATAGGATTTGCCGATAATCACCTCTCGCAAATTTAGGAAACCAACCCTCCGTGTGAAATCTTGCATAAATATTTCTACACACAAAGAAGCCCGTACAGAATTCTAATTCGCAAGAAAAACAACAATCCCTGATCCTAATGGCTATAATCAGAGATTACATGGGGATGGCTCGAGTCTTTCGATGGAGATTAAATCGGCCATCAAAGTTCAATCATGGCGGCGCCTTTCTCATCCGGGCCAGAACTATTTTCTCCCCTAAACACATCATTACTAAAAGAGATGAAACTGATGTAGTTGTCACCGTGCCTTTTCTCGCCGGCGACCGGCAACGTTTTCTGGACTTCAACAGCACCAAAGAATTGCTTCGGGAGGCCTTGGTACGGTTGATTCTTGTGGGTTCGTGCCCGAATCTCGATGCATTAGCCCAGAGAGTTGCTGAAGAGTTATTCTGTTCGTTTCGTTTTAGCCCTCAATTCCTGAACAGGGGAGATACCAAACTTGTTTTTGTGTTGGATTTGAATGTCTATGTGGAGAGGAAAGAGTCGGATCATTATCGCCCGGAAACCATCCAGTGGATCACGGCTGCCAATGAACAGTTTAGGAAACTTCTTGAAGATGGTGGGGAAAATTTTCCTGAGGAAATTAAGGAGATTGAAGATTATTTGAAGAATAAACCGGAAAGAATCCATCAGTTGGAGTTGAAGAAGGGATTGTTGCATGAAGTTTTGCCTGCTTTAGAGGTTGACAGGATTTCTGAAGTTGTTGTTGAAAAGAATACGGCTGCTACATTCAGTGATCATCATCGTGCACAAGTAAAAGTTTGTCCAATTTGTTTGGAAAGCCTCTCTAAAGGTGATGAATTTGTTGTGAAAGCTCCTTGCAACCATGTGTTTCATAGAAGTTGTATCTTCAATTGTCTGATTAGGACTGATTCTTGTCCGATTTGTAGAACAAGTTTTAAGATTTCAGTCTAATTAGCTGCCAATTTTTCTGACTTTGGTTGGTTTCCAATTCACTGAAACCTTGCTTGTAAATCATGTTGATTTTTGTTAATTGAATCTTCAAGTTTACTGTTTTGTATATCCCTTCTCAAACAGTTGTGTAAAGGGGAGTGCATTTTCTCAAGAATATATGGCTTTATAGACTCAAATGAGTCAATGTTAACAATGAAGCACAGGTACACAACATTTCACTCCGCTTTCTTAGATTGTTCTAGTCCATTTTCAATTGAAGTGGAAGTAGATAAGAGAATAGAAATCTAAGAATCCTTCACTAGCTCAAGAGTTGGCAAAGGGGTCCCAGATATGAAAGACTTAAACATGGTCAGAGCTTGTTTTGGTCTATGTAAGGGAACTTCATGGCCAGCTCCTCTTACAGGAACATAGTTTAGCCCTTCATATTGTTGTGTCCATCCCGCTACCTGTTTTGAAATTAAATTGAATAGGCACTAATGAGATGGTTTCAGTGCCAAATCATGGTTATAGGGCAGAATAGCTGCCTCTATAATAAACTCCCATAAGATAAACGAATGGTTTAAAGAAAAAGAAAAAAGGGCAAGCTGATTTACCTGTCCATCATCATACCAAGCACGCCAAGGCCCGACTGTTGGCAGCTCCAAAGCGGCTATACTATGGCGCGTTGATGCGGCTGGTATAACAGCATCTGTATCACCACTGTCATGATGGTGAAATTGTTAAAAGCTAGTACAGTTGAGTAGATTCAAACACATTGTCTCATTAGTTTCAGAGACTTCATAGCTATGACTAAGGCCTGACGTAGATATTGACCTATTTGAATCAGCTACCCATTTTGGAAAGTCGGTTTCTTACCATAAAAAATTCTGCACATCGTCTGCAAAAATATTTACCTTACAACATGATTGGACAATCAAGAAAACAGAAATATAGTTACTAAGAAAAACTCGAATTCAGAGTTATGGCACCATAAACAAAATTTCAATTCCCTGGACCAGATTTATGAAGAAATGCAAATCCATCAGAGATGAGTAGATAGATAATCCTGAATGCCCAAATCCGAATTCCACTAGGTATAAGCTCACGATAAATGTCTAGCACCGAGTGAGGACTATCCTTCCAATTGGAGTTTACCTCGTCACTGCAAAGATATGCAGTAAAACAATCATCAGAAGTTGGTATCAACTATCCAGTGCACTGAAAAGATACTTCATTCAGTATTGTGCACAAGCAGATGAAATATATTTCAATTGTTGCATTCTAAAAGGGAGATGCCTACCAGGTAGAAGACTTTATAGAAACGCATCACGTTCACCTTGCAACCTCAAAACATTCACAGTACTTTTCTCATTATGGTTACATTCCCTAGTGGCATAATGAATTCTTTGCATACACATGTATAGGTTATAGTTCATGACAAATGAAGAGAACAAACCATCTACATCTTTTGTTCAGGAAAACACAGAACGAAAGAAATCACAAACTCCAAAAAAAAAAAAAAAAAGCTTGAGTAGTGCTAATTTTAGCCCTATATTCAAGTTCAGCAGGAACGGTGCATATCTTATGATTAAACTACCTGCAGCCAGCCCATTTAGAAGAACTGTCTCGGTTGTAAACGTGCAGCGCTCGTTGGACCTCAGGAACATTGAAATAAATTGTTGAGTGCTGCTCTGTACATGGGTCATACTGCCTTCTCAAGTGCCCGCCATCCTATCAAGGTAGATTTCATTGGCAAATCAAACAGAAAATAAATTCATGACTGCTCCAAAATTTCTGATTTGCTAGTTTATTACAACCAATCAAGCGCATTCACAGTTAGCCAGCTAAGTCTAAAAACTAATATACAAACTTGAACCTTTAGTAATTAAGAATGGAAGTTAAAAAGACCCATGCAAAATTTTAGAAACCTGTGCCGATATCTCTAAGTGAACAAACAGTAGTTTTTCATGTTGCAATCAGAAGCATCATATCAACTAAAATAGCATACAAGATGTGTTCATAAATATTATTCAGTAATTCCTTTTTTCTTCAAAATTCTTAACATTTTCCAAGATCTACAATGAAAGTTCATGATCAATGGAGAAGCAAACTAAAAGCTCAATATACAGTAAACTAGGCCAACTGCAGTCACATTGTTTTATTTTTTGGGTTTACCTGTATACTCACATTCTGCCTTCTCATCAGTGGATTTAACATGCTAAAATTGGCACCGCTAGGAGGTGTAAAGATGCTGTAGAGATCAATATCTCCAATTTCATTATCAGCAATTTCAAGAATCTTATCACACATCTCTGACGGTTGTCTGTATAACTGAAAGTCGCAAAATAGGTTCAGCTTTTTGAATGTCTGGTCAGATATCAGACCAGATGCCCACATAAACTGAAAACGCCCCAAGTGGTCACGGAAGTCATCAAATAAAGCATTTCCAACCTGCATTATATGAATGAAAGTAATTACACATCCAGAGAGATATATTTGTTTCTGTAATACTCGAGTATTTAACAGGGTCAGCTATGCACCATGAAACCCTTGAAATTAATCGTCTTTTCCTTCTTTGCATAATTGTGGTGCACTATTGCTTGACTTAACTGAGGAACATAATGTCCTGGAAACAGACAATAGCTGTTTAGCAGTAATGTTCTTGGAACAATTCAGTGTGTAACTTAGAAATAATCATAGATGTGGAATATAGACACGTAGTCAATGGTATAATAGTAATTCAAGACATTACTTTGTCACAGATATAGTATCATTATACAATTGTTCTCAACTATATATAGATATCTTACTTGACTGCATGAAGTCAAAAGATAATACCGCGGATCTGCTAACTTGTGTGCTAAACAGAGCGATAGTTGAGAAAATGAAAAAAGGAGTGAGATAACCTGTAAAGTATAAAATTCTTAAGAAGAGAAACCCAACCTAGTTGACTGGAGATCCCAAGATCTAGGTTCAAAGGGACAACCTAATCATAAGACTTGGTGTGGTCACTGTGGGGTAACCTCAACTCATTCCTGTCATCAAATAGTGACATGATGGAAAATGATAGCAAAGGGTTGCTTTAATGACACTTAAGTGAGTAATAGCATTTACTCTAGACTTAAGGAAGTCACTTATGTAAGAGGGAAGTGGGGCCGCTTCGGAGGAGAACTCTTAAGGCTCAGTTCTTTAGAAACTCTCGCAGAACCAGGACGTGTTCATGGCCAAAATGAATAAAACCATAAGAATGGAACTAAAAAAAATGGTTCCTGTGTATTGTATCTGGGTTTCTTTATACAATATAGTCGGACAGTTCAATGGCATCGCATCTACTGAACAGCTAGTAGAGCAAATATACTTTATAAGGGGGAACTTCAAAGGGTAACACCTACTTTCTCTATGCAATGATCAGTTGGTGAACACTACTTTAAGCCAAAAACATTATCTCATTCATGTGGGGGATTGTTGGAAATAAGCTGATTATTTGAATGAGAGATTGGTTTCTCATCAGATTGAAAAGTGAATGTCAAATAGATTGACTCGTGCATAGGTGCGGCCTACACACACGAATGCCGATTTGTGACTTGCAGACCTGATCAACCCGCATTTTATCACTGGTATTGATTTTCCAATCGACATTGATGGAAAATTATTGGAGCAAAACTGAAATGTAGTTTTGTGGTTTTATTCCAATTAAATGGCCTTGAATTTTTAGCTTTATTCCAATTAAAGCAAAACGGTTTTCTGTCTTTAATCACATTAATTGACAGAAATTATTAAGGCAATGACTCTCTCCATTCTATAAGTGTTGGCTTATTTTATAGTTCTCTCAACAACTTAAGAAAAATCTAACCTCCATTCCAGTTCCGTTCCTAATTTCCACTAGTGTTCATTGTATTTCCTAGTTCCAGTTCGCCGATAATTTTGTCTAAAGTGCAAAACAAAAATCACATTGTCCGTTATATCCTGGGAAATAAACACTCTTTCATCCTCTAGCACTCCGTGAGAGAGAGCGAATCTATTTTAAGGAAAACGTGTTTCACGTGCCTCGGATTTTTCCTTTTCTTCTTTGTCCAACTTGTTATTGTTCATCACAAATATCTTATACAATTTTACCAACAACTGTTTGTCAATCTTATAAGTTGGAACCGCTAAGTATTCTGATCCAAGCAATTTTAAAGTCTGTGGATTTAGAGTAGCAGTAGCTAATAATTTTTTTTTCATGAGCATCAACCAGGCCGGAAGATCATTAGCTAAACAGACCTGAGTGCAGCAATGGAGCTCACTTTGAATGGAGGATGCTTACATAACTATTTCAGAAGATTAGAAGGGAAAAAGACTTGAATAGTTTTCCAGAACAAATATCCTAGATGATCCAGTTTTTTCTAGGAACTGATGTTTTACAACGTCCTACGACTAAAAAGGGTGGTCTTTGCCAAAAATTTTGGAACAAATCAAGCCTTGGGTTCTTCTTCCATTTGTGATTGTGAAAGGCTGACCAGTTTTCCAGATCAGATCATTTTATCATTGCGGAACAAAGATATGAGCTCCTAGAGTTTATCAACTGAGTTCATGATCACCTCTTTATTGCTTCAAAGCTCCTCGGAGGTGATCATGAAGTTACTCCATTCTTTGTTGCGGAACTCAAAACAGTGTTTTTCCCGGTCACAAAAAGCTCCTTCTTCTGTAGTAAAAGATCAATCATGCAAAGAAATCGTTTCATCTGATTCATCATCTAAATAATTCATGGTGTCCATATTTTTCTTGGTGGGCTTATTCTTCAAACAGATTCTTGAAAATTCAAAAAAAAGAAAAAAAGAAAAAAAAGCAAACCATCGCTATGTAAAACAGAGAAGCCTCCATCTCCAGTGTTGCCCGCTTAGAAGAACCCTAAGTTCTGGTAAGCCTCTGCCATTTCCAGCCACCATCCCTAATAGTTATCAGACCCTTAATTTGCATATCATATACTGATACGGTTTGTGTTTGTTACATATTCTACTGCGGACGAATAGGTAAGAAGCAGCAATAATGATTCCCTTGCTCTCATAAGACATAAAACCGAAGGTCAAATGAATTGAATAGATCGAAAACAACAAACTCTTTGTCAAGTGAGAGATTCAAACCTTATCCCTTAAAGTCCTGATTTCGATATTAATTTTTTAAGGTTCCCCTAGGTTATGGACTTCGGTACACTGTTTGATTTGCTTAAAGTTTGTCTCTATTTTTTTCAGGGAAGGAATAGATGGTTTCTCCCTTCACATGTTGCCCTTCAATTTGCCAGTTCATATTGCCTATATTTTTCACTCAACTCATGATATCTATTCATTAATTGATTTGACGTTTTTTTTAATGTTTTATAAATGTTGTTGCTGTTGAATGGAGAAGTTTTTCAAAATAATTGAACAAATAACAAACCACTAGAGAATTTATGTAACATTCTATGATATAACAACAAAGATTGACTACTTTTTTCACTTAGTGTATTACTACGCTGTTGCAATGCATTTTTCAAAAGTAATTATTTTAATAATAATTGGGGCCGGGCAAAGAGGATTGACAATATTACTTTTTCTTTTTGGTTGTTTTCTTAAATAATTATTTATCATAACAAAAAAGCATTATTTGTTTTCTTAATTACATATGTTTCTAGCGTGGATTGAAACCTCTCCATCTCTCTTTCAATTGTTTAGTTACACTTACAAGCACACTAAATGCTCCTCTATTAATGCATTTTATGTGGTAGATACTATTCCCTCTTATATCAACTCTCAACCTTTTCTTTTTTATTTTTTGCGATTATTAAATGGAAAAGAAAAATGGGATAAAAATGAATCCCGCAAAACCAATTGGGGTGGTAACAATTACTAAAAGTTGTTAATGATTATAGTAATGTCAATAATTCATATCATTTATCTTCCTCATTATATATGGACCATTTTACGTTAATTATCATTGATACTTCCTTAACTTTATAGAAATATCATATCATTTATCATGTTTTTTGCTGCTACTTTTATTATTTTATATCCCAAAAAAAATTCAACAATGATAGAACGAAAAATTGAGCTTCATATACAAATTAATCAAATTCAGATAACATATTTAATTGTAAATCCTAAAAGTGTATGAGTAGTCTAACCATTTATATTTTTTCTATCCAAAACGTTGAATATAAAGTTAATATTCAAATACTGGTAAGAACAACAAGACTTAATTGCATATTTTGACTAAATAATGTGAATGTTATGTTTTTTTCCAAGAAACAAAATGAGGAGAATGTTATGTTTGTTTCTAGTTTTTAATATGCTTTTGAGAATGCAGGTTTACAGTATTGCGACAGAAACATTGTCGTTGAATCAATAAAATTGATTTTAGTTTTATTTTTAATTTTTAATTTTTTGAGGGGCAAAAAAGTCATTATACAGAAACAACAATGATAAAATAAAATAAAATAATATATTAGAGTATTAATATTCAAAATTACATTTCTAAACATGAAATTACAAAAAGAAAAATGTGTCCTCTTAACTCTTTATTCCACTAATTAAGTTCTATTGAAAATGACAAAATCAAAGGAAACACACAATTGCTTGAATGGTGCTTTTGATGTTCCCCTTGTTGCAAGGACAGAAGTAGTTGTTACTTTCTACTAATTAAATTTGTCCAAAGCATTAGTAAAGTAATTCTTAACTCCTTCCTTTTGCCTTGAATCCAGATCTTCAACTAGGATTCTCCCGTAATGTAATTCATTCGCGAGATATGAAAATTCTCTTAAGTCGTTCTCGCTTTTTAGTTTGGCAATTCTTTCTTCCTTTTTTCTTATAACTTCAGCTAAATAACTTTCATATGTTACCATCTTCTTGTGTCTTTCAAACTCTGGCATGCTGAGAAACTTTGCCAGCCTTTCTTCGAGTTCCTCTCTTGATGGAAACAGTGATTCTTCGTTGTCTCTAGAATCTTGAACGATCACAGCCACCTGTACTTCACATAAAACAATAAGCTGATTAAGTCTGTTAAACAAAGCATTGATTCTCTTTCGAAATACTAATTTTCTTGTTCTCTCATCACTTATCGCTATACGTCTGAACTTTCCTCTAGCCATAAACTCTATATGTATATATATGAGCCAGTAACTTTCAATATATTCCGTTGCTACTAGGAAAGAGGTTGTTCCTATTGGCAAAATGATTATTCTTGAGTGCTTTATATAGAGAAAAACTGAGCAGGTACATTTAAGGAGTATTATAATGAAAATTAATATTTTACTAAACTATGAAATGAATGTGATCTTTTTAAAGATCGCATTTTTAACTAAAAATATCTTTTCCCTATATATAAAAGTTGCTTTTAAATGGTTTAAGTATATTTCTGTGTTTGATTATTTTTTGTCATACAGAACACCACATTTATCTTTAAAACCATTCATCTAATAAACAAGATGGAAATAAAAAGAAAAATTATGCACATTTTCAACTTGGAATAAATTTTATGAAATTAAAAGATAGATTTTAAACAGACTATGAACGTAGTCCTTTATTTTTTGTTTTTCAAAATATGATTGTACTACTATTATTTTAGGGAGTTGGAATGATTTGGTCGCTATTAATATCACATAATTGGTCGGCTATTTTAAGCAGAAAATTTTAATTTCCTTGAAAGATAGATTTTGGACATACTATGAACGTAGCCCTTTTTTTCCCTTAATTTTGGGAAACTTGATTGTACTACTATTATTTTAGAGAGTTGGTAGAATAATTTGGTCCATTAATATTATATTAATGGTCACGTATTTTAAGTAGAAAATTTAATTTTAGGAAATTAAAATTTTGTTCTAAAATAGGCGACCAAATCTTAAACCATTTAAAAACAACTTTTACATTCACAAAAAAGATATTTAGTTAAATATGAGGCTTTTGAAAGGATCATATTCATTTCATATTATAGCAAAATAAATTTACTTCCTTCATTGTCAACTTTCACACTTCTTAAATTAGATGTACCTACTCAATTTTCTCCTATATAACGCACTCAAGAACAATCTTTTTGCCGCCTCATCACCTAGCATAGCAAGAACCTCCTGTCCTAGTAGCAACCAAATAAATTAAATATTACTAACTAGCATATATACATATAGAGTTTATGGCTAGAAGAAAGTCCGGACGTGTAGCGATAAGCGATGACAAAACAAGAAAATTAGTATTTAGACAGAAAATCAATGCTTTGTTTAATAGAGTTAATTAGCTTATTGTTCTATGTGAAAATGTATGCTCATATGCCAATTTTACCAAGTAAAAATCCAAGAGGATTAATCTTTTCTTATTAAAAGATATAGTTAAATTTCATAATCTAATCAAACAAATACGCTCTCTGCCCTAAATATGTTATCATAAATTTATGACGAAGGGAGTACTGCATAATTAAATGGTCAAAACCAAATGAAATGACATGATATATCTATACACCTTTGTCCAGAATAATCATTTATGCATGCTTAGTATAAAATCTAGTAAGAGTTTCAATGATGTCATAGACAAGTATTCAAACCCCCCAACCCCAAAAAAAAAAGCGTGTGGTAAGGCCAATAAAAAATGCAAATGCATAAATTAAAGAAAACTTCTATGTAGAAATAGTTCCTCATCAAAAAAATCAAAAGACCATATGTTAGAACTTAGGAGATTAATAGTCTTGCACATGGAGAGAGGGCTATGGAAAAGAGTCGAGCGATTTACAATTAGATAAAAGAAAGAGAGTCTGCGTTCGCTGTGAAGGTTAGAATATGTGTATTTAAAGAGAACAATGACTAGTTTTTTAGTAAGTAGTGTTAAGGAACGCGTTATAAAATTTCCTTAAACAGCTATTCTAATATTTTTAAAATATACAAAGCAATGGTAAGTAATAATATACAATAAATTTTACGCGGTTTGTACATTTATTTAAATTTCATTAAAATATTTTATTTTTCCTGCACAAAATTTTTAAATAAGCCTCAAATTAGTTTTAGAACCGCTTATTACAATTCTAAAATTGTTGGTTTTTTTTAAAAAAGTTCTAGAACCGCTTATTACCATTTTAAAATCACCAGTTTGTGGTTTTACTATCAATGGTACTATAGCGGAACCACGTATAAAAATATTAATCGGCTCTTGTTATGGTTATGGTTTCAATGCCGATATTGGTTATGATGACTGTTTTGAGTGCCTTTATGATACGGTTCCATTTTTTAATTAATTACTAAAACCATTATTGTTTTATGTGAAAATATATGCTCATAAGCCATTTTTACCTAGTAAAAACCCAAGTGGATTAATCTTTGCTTATTATAAAAATATATAGATAAATATCATAATCTAATAAACAAATACAGCCTCTGCCCTAAATATGTTATCATACATTTATGACGAAGGAAGTACTGATAATTAAATAGTCAAAACCAAATGAAATGACACAATATATCTATACACCTTTATCTAGAATAATCATTTCAACGGTATATACACAATTATTTATGCATGCTTAATATAAAATCGGGTCAAAGTTTCAGCGACATCATAGACAAGTATTCAACCCCAAAAAAAGGCTCGTGATAAACCAAATAAAAAATGCAAATGCATAAATTAAAGAAAACTTCTATGCAAGAAATAGTTCCTCCTAAAAAAATCAAAAGAGCATATGTTAGAACTTACGCGATTAACAGTCTTGTATATGGAGAGAGGGCTACAGAAAAGAGTCGAACGATTTACGATTAGATAAAAGAAAGAGAGTCTGCATTCTCTGTGAAAGTTAGAAGATGGGTATTTAAAGAAAAAGACAACTAGTTTTTAGTAACTAGTGATAGGTAACGCGTTATAAGATTTTTTAAAACAGTTGTTCTCATGTTTTCAAAATATACAAAGTAAGTAATAATATACAATAAATTTTACGCGGTTTGTAGATACAAAATATTATAAATTTTATTTAAAAATTTTATCTTTCCTTTCTAAAATTTTGAAATAAGCCTCAAATTAGTTTTAGAGCCGCTTATTACAGTTCTAAAATAGTCGGTTTATAGTTTTACAATCAATGGTACTATAACCGAACCACGTATAAAAATATTAATCAGCTCTTATTATGGTTATGGTTTCAATGCCGACATTGGTTATGATGATTGTTATGAGTGCAATTCGATACGGTTCCATTTTTAATTAATTTCTAAAACCATTACTACCTGTAAGGGTAAAATATTATGAACACATATTTAATCAAATATGACCATATGAAATTGATTTAATATGTTTAGGAACATACATTTTTTTTCAAATAAATAATTTTGTTTTCTCTATCATCGTGAAATGATTGTCCAATTTAGATTTTTATTATTTGTTTAAATTGTACTGAAAGTCAACATTTCAATTGGATAATAATTTTAAGATAAAGAGAATAATTAGGAGTCATTTTTAAAACATCGATGAACAATATTTTTAATCATAGTTATATAATAACTATTTTCAATTGTTTTAAAACCTCTAAAAAAAGGATTTTTCTTACACTTCTGTGAACCCATAAATTGAGCCAAAAATCTCTACAAGTCCAAAAAAATAAAAATAAAAATAAAAGTGAAACTAGCTAGCAAGTCTAAGGCTCAACGAGACTGTTGATCGAGGGACACACACCACTATAGCTAATTGATTCAAAGGAAAGGTAGTCCTGAAACAATTGTTTTTCAGCATCAAAAGCAGAAATTATGTCATGGTCATATATGAAAATTTCACTTCTCCTGCGAAAAAACGGCATGGGAGCAAGACACGGAGGGGAATAACCAGCTTCCTGCCATAGCCAAAATTTGCCTAATGTTTGCAAAACCACGAATTTAGACCAAGAATCCTTCACACCATATTCCTTCATTGTCCCAAACTTTATGTTTCTAGTTGTAGATTTTGTATCCATACGCCATGCATAGGCAACTCTTTAAAACATCAAAACAACCAAATGATACGAGTTTTTTTTCTTCGACGAAATCTCTTGGTTGTGGAATGGTTTTGTATGTCTCCGATCCGAAGCCATGATAATGACATCGTCAGTCATCCAATGGAGAGCATGCTTGTTAACTAATAACCCATCTCTCATAAACTTGGTGGACAAAAGTGGTCCATCTTTCAAACGGGGAAATGGTGGTAAAAAAACCCTCCAATAATTGGACTCCATGCTATAAATCTGAACTTCCCGATTAACTATCAAAAAGCTTCGATAGAATTGGGACACTCTCACCACCTTCTAGTCATCCTCAATATCATCATATCCAAAACCATAAGCATAACTATGGCATATTGTTGTACTTTTGAATTTTAAAGGAAGAAATGAAAAAAACAAAAAGAAGAAAAGAATAGGGCTCTAATATAATCCACATACATAGGTGCATGTATTCGATTATACTACTGAGTAAATGGTATAATCAATAGGTTCATGTGTAATTATAATTAATCAAAACGTAGATCAGAACACTAAACTTATACAATACTCAATCGGTTCTAGAAAAAAGAAAAACCTACTTTATAGAATTATTAGTACAACAAAAGAACATAGTTTTGTAAGACGGAGACACTACTACGAAAGAAGTGGCCAAAAATATCGACAAGTCCAAAGATAAGTCAAAAGAAATGGTATCATTAATATAGTTATCGTCCGCTCAAACAGAGGAGAATGCTTCAATAATTCACCAATTTGGCTGTAGTATGTAATTCATGCATATTACCACAAGGCTCTTACGGGTGCTCTAAATCAATGTTGCGTTCGATGTTTACCACATTAAACGAATCAAACTTGTAAACTACCAATTCCAATACCCTTCTTTTAATGCAAATTTAGAATAGAGTATATTGACTCAAGGCAGTCTTTCTTGTCGAGTAATTTTTAACCAATGCTCTCTTATTTTGATTTCAATAGCCTTATTTATCAAATTCAATGGGAGGGGAGTAGAAACAGTACCACAATTACGTACAACAGCATTAGTTTCACCCTCCCTCTCAAATGGCTTATTAGGGTTCAAGAAAATACAAATATGGAGTCTGGAAACCTAAGCATCAGTCATAAGCTCCAATTCAGGTAATGCGGATCCAGATATGAAAGACTTGAAGAGAGTGAGAGCTTGTTTGGGGCGGTGTAACGGAACTTCATGGCCTGCTCCTCTCACAGTCACAAAATTCAGCCCTTTTTCATATTGTTGTGTCCATCCACTAACCTGTTCAAAAATGTTCAACATAAATCACTCACAACAATGAGAAAGAGCACAACAACAGCAAAAACACATACACCCTCCATTCCATAATTATTGTCTAGTTTGGATTTTTAATTTTAATACAAATTGAACTAAAAATAAAAATCTAAATTGGACAAGGATTTCGCCAATGGAGTATATGTTCCAAGAAATCGTTAGCAATCTCGGATCTTACACTCAAATAGGAATAATTTAAGCAGTAGTTACCTGCCCCTCTTCATCGTACCAAGGACGCCAGGGTCCAACAGTTGGGAGATTTAGAGCAGCTACACTCATCCGTGTGGATGTAACTGGAAGCACGGTATCCGTGTCACCGCTGTCAAAAAAAAAATGAAACATGTTACAATAGATAATTAGGACATACTTCTTGAGTATTTTTCAATGGATTTCAATCTAATTTGGTTTGATGAATAAGAAATGCATATTCATGAATTCTAGTTTAGTAGTATAAGGTATAAGACCTGAAAACCCAAATTCGAACGCCAACTTGGAGAAGTTCATGGTAGATGTCCAGGACTGAAGCCGGGGAATCTTTCCAAGTATTGTACACATCCATACTACAATTTGGTGTAACAGCACATGATGAGTAAATGGGGAAAAAATGTAAAATCTTTAAGTTACAAAAATGTGGTATATTTCTAGTGTTATGAAAACTCCAAATCTTAATATAGTTCATTGTTACATACTGCAAATAAAACTGAAAAAAAAAAATTAAGATAGGAAGTTATACTTGCAGGGTTGCCAAGTAAAAGAAGTGCCTCTGTCATGAACATGAAGTGCCCTTTGAACCTCTAGAAGATTGAAATATACTGTTGCATAGTCTGCCGTACACGGATCATATTCTCTGCTGATTTTCCGAGCCTTTTTTCACATTCCATCAAGTTTCAGTCAAGACACTAAAATCATTCAAATGTACTAAGAGGTTTAATTTTGAGTCACAATATCTGAGATGAGTTTGTAACACGACTTACATTATTCGGCCGCCTTGACAGAATCCGCTTTAGAATGCTGAAATTGTCTGTGCAAGCTGGAGTAAACAGACTGTACTGATCAATGTTTCCTATTTCTCTGTTGGCAATGTCAAGAGTGTTGTTACATGGTTCTGATGGACTTATAAACGAATCGTAGTCGCAGAGTTGGTTTAGCTGCTGGAATGTCTGATCAGATATCAGACCACTAGACCACAAATATAGGAAAACACCCACATGATCATAATGGGTATCAAATAAAGCATTCCCAACCTGCATTAATTGAAAGTGTTAAAAAAGTGTTACCACTCCATCCCTTAAAACATTATAGTTGCAAATTGTTGTAAGACAAATACTGTATACTACCATAAAGCCCTTGAAATTAATTATAGTCTCGTTTTTCGCAGAGTTGTAATGCACTATGGCTTGGCTTAGTTGAGGTACATAATGTCCTGAAAACAAAAGGCGAATAAAATTAACAAGAGATTATGTCATCCTGACAAAAATAATGGGATTGAACTGAATAGTAGAATGTACCTCCGTAGCTCTCTCCAACGATGTATAACTCCCTTCCTTTATACTGAGGAAAACGCTCGAACCACTTGACAACAAATGTAAGGGAATCGGCCGCTGTAAAGAAAAAAAAATGTTGTTATAGGGAAACATTTTCTATTGGAATGAAAAAACAACCGAAAAGAAAAACACTATAACTAAAGTGAGATACCAGTTCTTTTGTCGCCGTTGGTTGTATGATCTGAGGATGTGTTGGAGTAAGAATATCCAACTCCAACTGGAGAGTCCAAGAACAGCATATTTGCAGCTGCAAAAGAATGCATCTGAATCAGGTTATTATTAACCCTAACAAGGCCTGAATGTAAAAGAATTTCAGGTTTCAAGTGATTCATATGACCAAGGATCTCTCTACTTAACTATACCATACAGTCTGAATGGTACTTATTTGCATTTCCCTCCGCAATTAGGATACTTCAATGATTGGTTTATTAACCATTAGTAGTATGGCATATTTTTTCCCTGTTCTGATATTATAGTTCAGTTTAGATTTTTTATTTAGTACAAATTGAACTTAAAGCGAAAATCCAAACTGCACAATAATTTTGAGACAAAGGGAGTATGTAGTAGTTGATTATTGATACCTAGGTTCCAAGAATAGGGGTTGGGATAAAGGCTTTTCCCATCTTTCTCAACATGAAATGGACCAAGTTCCTCACCCACTCCATAAGCAATTGATGAACATCCTGGCCCTGAAACAATGAAAGTACTAATCAAACTCAATAGTCCTTTTAAACCGCCTCCGAAAAGCAATGAAGCAAAATACTTCAAACAAGTTTAAGAATTCAAAAATGGCAGAAAAAAATTAACAAGTCCTAAGTGAAAATGTGATTTTCAGTAATCGGAGAAATTGGTTGACCTCCATTGAGCCAGATAACAACAGGCTTGGAAGCAGGGTCCTCAGCAGCCTCAAAGAACCAATAAAACAGTGCCCGTCCAGCTTCCTCATTGACAGTGATAAAACCCGAATAGTGTTCAAAGCTCACACTGAAGCCTTGGCCTGGAAGCTTCGAGACTTTATCCGCATTCTGCTGCGCATTTGGGTCTGCATCATTGTCATTGCCACAATCAGCCAACTTCAGCTCATTGCTGAACAAAGAGATCAATAGAACAAGAAGAACCCATCTCAAATTTCGCATTGTTTTTTTTTTTCGAAATCTGAAACGAAGGGGGATTGGAGGCAAGTGGGTGGGGAAAAAGTACTGGGTTCTAGCATTACTTATTCTTGAATTTTTGAAAACGATGTTGATATTTTTGTTTCAAACATATTTCCAACGTGACTCAACTTTTTTTCCTCGAACAAGAGCTGCATTATTGGAGTTTTTGCTGTCATATTTTCATCCACAAGAAGGTTTCTCATCACTGAATATCCATCCACTAGCTAGGTTGAGTGAGGTGAATGATAGCCCTGATTACTACTAAGAATTGCAGATCATTGTACCTGCTTAATGTTGTTAGAATTAATTAATTTTGATTTTGAGAAATTATTTTTGATTATTGCTGATTGGAAGAGAGAAAAAGAAAAGAGAAAGGTGACAATAGAAGTTATTAATTGTTGCAGAAGTTCATAGTTGTACTTAAAACTCGAAGCTGTCTCCAATTTAGCCAAAAGCACTTGCTGATGATTGATTGATGTATCCCCTGGAGCCTTGTTTGATGATTATTGCCAGAGGACAAATTAGTAAAAAAAAATTTAAAAAAAAAAATCACTGAAGACATCCTGTTACGTTACTATCTCTCTATATATGCGAAATCTCTTTTTCTTTTTTTCGTTTTTTTGTCCTACTGATTGGCGTTTCATAAACGATGGTGAAATATGAATACTGCCAATGCGTTTCCATGCTTTTGGAATCGATCGTAACTCAAGTGCGTTAGTTCTACTTGATAAAACACGATGCGATTGTAGAGAATATTCTTACTTTTTTCTTAATTACTGGGAATATGAAGATCATCATCAAGTGATGCATTATTGCGATAAAATTATGACGTAGATTCTTACTATCATAGCTGTCATTTTGAGGAAAATGCACCGACCCTTTTGCATTTCGAATTTTGTAACGATGATTGTATTAAATTAAAGCTTCAACAACTAGAAATTCTTTTTGTTCATTATACGGGCTTCTACATGTTTGTTATGGTAAAGTTATATTTCTTTTCTTTCTTCGCTCTTATTCTTTGATTTCCTCGATCATTTACTACAATGATACCCACTCCAAAAGACAAAGAAATCATCATGTTTTTCTTGGCCAATAATTGACTTATTAAAGTGCCATTTGATTTTTCTTTAAAAAAAAAAAAAAAAAGACAGGAACTATTATATTTCTCTCTAAATTTCTGAAGAACATGAATTGTTCATTACTTGCAGGAACCTCAAAAAAAAAAAAAATTACTTTCCTGATGACGCACTAATTAGGGAAAATTTGCTGGATTTGGTGAAAGTTATTAAATATGTACAATAGGTACTGCGCCAATTTGAAATAATTAAGATTGTTTCGGTGGTCATACTACTGAAATATTATCAAAGCCCTAGTCGTTTATTGCCGCAAATCAGGAAGTTTGGGAAATTTGTGAAGCCGATGATCGTAGACGACTTATGCGTTGACTTTCTGAAAACGAGGATCAGATCGACGAAGAAGGCATCCACGTATTATCAAAACCTTTACATAATAACTGTGATTATATACCGTCAGTAAATTATTTCGTGAAACACATGAAATAAAAATGTTCTGCACTTCATGAAGATCACCAGTGAGTTCTCTTGATTCACTACTGAGTTTGTTCAGACAGATTGCTAGATCTGTTGAATAAATAATTAATAAATACTTCCTCTGTTGTCTAGTTTGGATTTTCAAATTTAATTCAAGTTGTACTAAAAATAAAAATTCAAACTATATAATAATTTTGGGTATATATATCTACGTACGTATATTTTTCTTTTTTTAATAAATATATACAGTATATATATGTGAAAAATTTTCTGGTCCAATTGTTATATTTCTTAATAATTGAACCATCCGAATAAATAAATTCAATCAAAACTTAACACATCAAATATGTTCGTAGGGTGAGTATTATTGTTAAAAAAAAAAAGGATATTTCATACTAACCCGTAACTCGTTAATAATAAGATCGTTAATTACCATAGAAAAACGCTGAAAAATCAACTTTGTTACTTTTAAGGAAGAAGAAGAAATGTCTTTCGTACAAGCAGTTCAATAACTCGTGCTCTTTATACTCAACCGGTTCAATTACCGGGATCATCAGCGTTGCAAGAATTGAAAAGATTCAGTGATATAAATAAATAATTAGCCTGTAGTCTTAGGAACTCTGCAAACACAAGCGCGACGCGACAAACAATTATTAATGGGGTCATTACCGCATTCTCCATAGACGTCATGGCTGTGTTCTCGAACCTGTCTTCTGCATTCATTCAGACACGCCGCCTGATCCACAATGCATCCCAACGTGTACGCCAGTTTATCGTAATCCTCCGCTGCCTTTCCTCCTGTATATATATGTAGTTTTTTGTTCAGATGTATAAAACTAACCGCATTGAAGAAAACCAACATTAAATGAAACAGATATAATATAAAATATCAAAACGAATTAACGCACGTGTTGAATTAATTAATCAGACTAGTCTGAGACTGACGATGAGTATAGTTGTGTAGTTTAAATGGGCAAACCTAAGACAAGGGCGAAGATGAGGACGAGGAGGCAGCAGCTCTTCAGATGAAACCTTTCCATGTTCGTTTTTGAGAACTTACGTACGTTTGCTTTGTTTTTGTTTTTTTTTTTCGTTTTATTGAATAATTTAGGGTTTAGTTTTTTACGTACGTTTGCTTTGTTTAATTTCACACTCAGTTGAAAGGACTTTATATGAATGTGAGCATCTTTATTACTATATTATTAGTGAATAGTTTGTTATTTCTCAACAAATTTCGCTCCTCTTTATCATTACATAAATGCGAAATGAATGGAGGATCTAGAATAAAAGTGGAATATTAATCGTGAAATGTGGGAATACCAAGCACCATCTGACAGCAGTTGGCACTGGAAAAGGCTGATGAAAGTCAAGGAGAAACTGAAAGAGGGCACTCAGAATGGCAGGTGGATCATGAACAATGGGAAACCTTATGCTGCAAAGAATGGTTATAAATGGTTAAAAGGATCAGGCAGAAGAACAAAGGAAGCAACTGTGATATGGAGTAATCTCAGTCTACCAAAACATAGGTTTATCAGTTGGCTTACGTGGAGGAGAAGGCTGTTAACCACTGACAGACTGATCAAAATGCAAATAGAGGTGGCTGATATATACTATCTGTGTGCTGTGTAAAGAAGAGGATGAGTCACACCAGCATCTGTTCCTTCAGTGTAAATATGCTCAAGCAGTGATGCCAGAAATCAAACAGTGGATGGGGGTGCAAAGACAGATCACTTCTCTGGATATTGATAGACTTGGCCGTATTTGGAAAAACAGAAGACTGAAGCAAAAGCTGCTGTATGCAAGCCTGAATGCAGTTGTTCATCATGTGTGGAGTGAAAGGAATATGAGGAAGTTTAGGAATCAGGAAATGGAGGTGAAGCGTAGGGCTGACTTGATCAAAACTGAACTTAGATGGAAAATGAAGACTGGGAATATCAAATGTAGTGCTGAAAACAGAAATTTTCTAACCAAATTGGGTGTTAACTAGGTTAGAATTCTGTAATAGAAGGAAGTTGTAGCATTGACTTGTGTTTGAAGAAATTATAAAGTTTATATTTTACGAAAAAAAAATCGTGAAATGCTGGCATATGGCTGTGCTGGTCAGTGATTTGTCTAGAAGGTTGTTTAAACGCTCTAGAAAAAGGTTACATAGGGCAAAACACGGTGAATTTCAGGGCATAACCAACATTAAGTGTTTCTGTCTTCAAAATACAAAAGGAAAAAAATAAAAAAATCTTCAATGGTGTTAATAAGCTACAACGAAAAGAATAAACAACTCTACAACAAAAATATTGTTCTCTACTGGAAAACTAAAACTTATCTTGTAATTACTCGATATTATTGAGGCAAAAAATTTTCAATATGATACTTTTGTATTATACTCGGTGTAATACTAGTTAGATGATTGATACATATTTGATTATGCCTATCATGCATACCTTGGGACTAATTGGTCGATTCTTTATTCTATTGGTTAATGGATTATTATTGATGATAATGACACATATCAAGCATTTACCTAGTATCATATTAACTTTAACACAAAAATATCACACAAGACGGGATATTATTGAACATGATATTTGAGGATCTTAAAAAATTAAAACGAAAATTTTTACTAAGAGGGCCGTGAAAATTCTTAAAGAGGGGGTGAAAATTTTCAAGTTCTCCTTAAGAGAATAGTAATATGTTATTCATTAAATATTTGGTGACCTGCTACTTACTATAAGCATTAATGGTATTTATTTCCTTATAAAATAACATGGGCAAACTACATAAACTCCCTGAATTTTGGTAACACTATCATAAACCCCCTGAGCAAGGGTCAAACATTAAAATGACTAAAATACCATGATTTACATAAATTTCATTTTTTCAGTTTTTTTTTTTTACTTTTTCGACCATTAGAAATAAAATTATACTTAAAATTTGTCATTTTCACATCTAATAACATAAGTTAATAAATAAAAGTTAATTCATGATTGATATATTAATTTATTATGTTTTATAAAAAATTTATTTAATGAAAATTTATTTTATTTCAGACGACATGATAGAATTAATTTTAAAATTATATTATTACGTACATTAAAATAAAATAAACAATGTGGAGTATTTTTTTAACCTTAATTTATGATTTATTTTTTAAAATTATTTGAATTGTATAATTTCAAAATTATAGAGTCAAGAGTATTTTTGACCGCTTACACAAAATGGATGATGATGTTAATATGATAGGAGAAGATTTGGTAAATTGACTAGCAGTCAAGGGGGGTATATGATAATATCACCAAAATTTTGAAAATTTATGGTAAATTGGACCAAAACTCAGGGGTAAATTGCAGTTCGCCCAAATAACATCCCTTTTGCCTCTATCGAATCATCTTCATAATCTTCTGCTAAAAAAGGAACAAAATTTTGCCCCAATTTTCATGAAGTCAATACAGAAAAAAAAAAATGCAAAAGCACAAAACGGTATATTACACTTCTGCAGGAGTCTTCCATGCTCACGAATGTGAGTCTTCCTTTAAGGAGCATCCCAAACTTCTTGTGTGTCTCTTGAATTCGCCCCGACTAGTGATTAGAACGGTGTTCCAGTATTTTTTTTCATTATCGACAGAACTGATAATAACGTCAAGAATTGACCGTGAAAACATCACTCTAACACAAAAAATTCGGAAAAAAACAAAACAAAAACAATAATTATCCTCCATAGTTGTATTATCTTTAAAGGGGGCTAGATGAGAGTGGTTAATTTGGATGGAAAGGATTTGAGAGGGAGGTCTTCCCCTGAGATTCATTAATCCAATTAGATCTCCGTTTTTCTCTTTCTATTTCCCGGGCGGCGTTCTTTTTCTCCTATACCGGTGGTGGCCAGCATCATTTATTTTTCTTTGTGGCCAGCAAGGCTGTATGGGAACATCAAATTCAAGATCCAGTGAGTTGGGTGTTCTCGGATTGATGCTTATTTCAGAAAATTACTGGTGATAATCAGCAAAATTTGGTCCATGTGATGCGGAAGATTGCTTGAACATAGGAACTAGTTCGACATGATGGTTGACGGGCGGTTCGCTACATTGGATTGTTTGTTTACTTTTTTGATGGTATTTTCATATTTATATATTAATAACTGTCACATCTAAACATACTTTTTTATATTTTTAATACACTTTTTTACATTCCCAATATAAAAAACACCTAAAAATACATACTAAAAAAACGAAACAAACAAAAATACACACTAAAAACACACACCAAAATATTTCGATGATTGTGACTCAAAATGAATGGCAGTTGAGGGTTGATCATATTAGGAAAAAAATAACTCCCACACAATTGATTAGCCGTGCTATAGCAGTTGTTATACTATGCATATAAGCATATTATTACTCTTAGGGGGAAAAAAAAAACGATTAGAATGCATTCAACAGAATCATTCAAACTGTACAATTTCTCCTTTTAAACTGTTTTGAATTTTATATTTGTAGCTTGCAGTCAACGTCCACTTGCATAAAAAAAAGGAAAAAAAAAAACAAAAAACAACAACAACAACAATGCACTGATATATTTGCGAACAACAGCGAAACCAAAGATAGAATCAATGTTTCTAATTTTTTTCTTTCTCCCCCTATATTTGCTTGTGAAGATGTCCAATAAAAAGAGTGAAATTTTTCACCAGATATGAGGCGTTCTTTAGTTAATCCAATTCCTAGTATTAAGCTATAAAATTATTGGAGGGAGAGATAGGTGATTAAAAGAGGGTAATCGATAGATTACGTACTGGAGATCAGGGAAGAGATAAGTTTGATTTCTAAGGAGCAATTTTGGAAGATGGGTAAAGTTTTGCCCTGGATGTTAATAATTGTCCTGGCAAAATTACTGGCCATTGGACAATCGCTATCGTTTAAGAAGAAAAAGGAAAGCAAGACGTTGCTCCAGTACTATAACCTTGAAATTAAGCTCAAAAAAACCTAGGAAAGCCAAGAGGATATAGTTTTTTTTTTTTTCCTATTATTATTATAAGCATATGCACGTATACCATGCGAACACAAATTAATTAGTAGTGCCTAATTGTGCAATAAAATATACTAGGGGCATAATACGCGCTTCATGCCTGCTTGTAATATTAAAATAAAAAAATGTATAGTTAATATGAACCAAAAGGAAAGAATATACTTAATTGAAAGAAATAGATATTATAGAAGTGAAATTTTGGTATAATAATAAAAATATACTTATAATGTTTCTAAAATATGCATGTGCTATGATGAAATTACCTAAATAAAATTTCGTTGTGCATGGAAGAAAAAGAATCTCAACTAATAGAAGGGAACAAATATTATGCCATCTCAAATTTCTTTGTAGTGATGTAGATAGTTAAATTCTTAATTATTTAAAACACTTCAAATATCTAATTCACTATATACTCAATTATAACTTTCATGTTTATTTTCTGAAGGATGCAATTTGATTGCATCTTTGTACTTTGTAACAAAGGAATTTTTAGTTTTTTTCTTAACTATATATATATATATATATATATATATATATATACATACAATGATTAAAAGTGGCTAATAATAATAAATTATAAAAAAAAAAAGAAAAATAACATTGAACCATAGGTTATTAGAGTTAAAAAGGGTAGAGCCCACCGTTGATGTAGTTGGAACCTTCTCTGAAACAATCCTTCAACATCATCCTCGGAGAAAGATAAGTGTGGAGAAAAACTTGAATCTCTTCACCCAAAATTAGAGGAAAAACACGGTTAAACTAATATAACAATCATACGTATAAATAAATTAATCAACAACAAATTATAAATTAATTATGTATTTCTCTAAACATGTACATTAAGAGAAATCAAAAGCAAATTGAATTTACAAACAGTAGAATTTATTTAAAGACTCTTCAAAACTTCATTAATCTTCTTGCTCATTTCTAATATGCTAAAAAATTTCAGAATGCTAACATGATATGTGAATAAGACATGACTCATGCCATCACGATGAATACAATGTACGAGGCTATCATGCTAACTTGTGTTGTTTGTGTGTAATGATTTCTCTCATCTCGAATATTTATATTTAGCTATAATTTGTTTCCAGTAGAAGATTAACCATTAATTTTCAATAACGATTGAATACATTAATGTTGAAAACACCTTCATCTTCCTACCATTACAAACTATTCATTTTCTTTGCCATAAATTTTCATTAAGTACTAACTTGCTCAATCAATTACCAAAGCTATTTTCCAACAAGTATTTTTGAGAATGCGAATAAAATGATGATGAAATAGAAGATTAAAATTTTGAAACTGAAGAGACAATAAAGCTAGAAATTAAGGGATATTATATTGAAATCACACGTGAAATGCACACAAAGGACTACCAAACTCTCAATCTAACAATTCCTAATTATAATATAATATGTAGATATAGTTTTAAGAAGTTTAACAAACATATATCAAACCTACGTTTTTGTATGTATGAAAAAAAAAAACACCTTTTTAATGAAATTGATGAACAAACATTCTGTGTAAGGTTGTTTTTTTTATCTTTTTTTTTTTTTTTTGGGAATCCTGTCTACTGTAATTAACTTCTCATATTTCATACTTCTAATTTACTGAGAGGCTACTAAACGCCCTAATTTTTTCATTTGAACGCCCTAAAAAATCTCAAAAAGACTATTTTACCCCTGAATTCATATTTTTTTAAAAAAAAAAGGGTGGAGGCAACGGAGCACTGCGCCAGCCTTTCACGGCTGGCGCAGAAGAAATGCGCCACCTTTTAAAGAGTGGTGCACAATTTTCTCGCCTCCCAATTAAGGGAGGCGAGAGGAAACTTTACCCCAAAATGGGGGTGGCGCAAAAATGTGGCGCCACCCCCTTCGGTTTGGCGAGCGTTTTGCTCGCCAAACCGAATTTACCTTTTTTTTTTCTTTTTTTAATTTATTTCATTAATTAATTATTTTATTTATTTATTTATTTTTTATTTATCTATTTGGCAGTTAAAAAATATTAAAAAAATAAATAAAATTATTTTATATTTTTTCCATGTTTTTTTAATTTTTCGTTTCAACGTATTTTAAATTTTATATTTTTTTCCAAAAAAATATTCCCAAGACGGCTAGATGCACCGATGATGAATAATTAATTTGTTTGATAGTAAATTCATAAGTTTTAGTTTTTATTAAATGATAATTTTTTGTTTACGTTTAAAAAATTTTACATAACTAAATGATAAATTTTTATAAAAATTTACTACATAATTAAGCAACATTTTCTAAATATTTAAGTTAAAATTATTTGTTTAACCACCAAACAAATAAATAAAATTTAATAAATAAATAAATTAAGAACATACATGAATTAAATAAATTAAATAAATTCATTAAACTAATAATTAAAATAAATAAAAGAAATTAATTAAATACATTAAAAATAGTTAAATTAAAGATAATTAAATAAATAAAATAAAAATAAAAAAATAATTAAGGTGGGTGGCGCACAAAATGGCGCCACCCACCATTTGGTTGGCGAGCAAAAAGCTCGCCAACCAGCACAAATGTGGCGCCCAGAAGGGCGCCACACCTTCGCCATGCGGCGAAGGTTTTCTCGCCACCCCTTAAGGGGGTGGCTCATTTCTCCCTAGTTATACATTTTTTTTTTGCAAACCAACTTTATTTTGTAGGGACGTGTACGTCTTTTTCGGGCGTTTAAATGAAAAAATTAGGGCGCTCAACAGCACGACCCCTAATTTAACAAGGAGCATTTGGAACCATGCATGGACACGAAGGTGATAAGCTGAGACCAAATATTTGGTAAGAGCTATACTTGAGTCATCGCTACTAACCCGAAATATATTATATATGCTTCTTCTGTTTCAAAATTGTTTGGAATTTCACTTATAATATAATTTATACTAAAGAACATACTAGTTAAACAATCATTGCGAGTATATCTATATCCTACTTGTGAAATTAAGGTTGCATTGGGTTTGGTCACCGGATTCAAAAATACTGCTACCGTGGTCAAGAATTAAAATCTCGTTACCAAACTAAATGCGATCTTAATTTCACTGATATAAATAGAGAAGTTTGATTTTAAAGTATAGTAGATTCTTTTAGGTGCAAAATAAATTAAAATACCATGCATGTTCGTATTACATTTTATCAAAAAAAAAAAAAAAATACGATGATTCTGTTTACAGTAATAAGTCAAACAAATCAAGCCATTGCAAAGGATTCTACGGAGCGCGGAGGGTCTCTTTGGAGGAAGTGGAACCATGCGGTGGAAGAGTCCAATTCTTCAACCCACAAAGTAAAACTCTCCCCCCAATTCAAGAAAAGAATCTCAGGATTCTCTTCTGCTACTTCTTTTTTTTTTTTTTGGGGGGGATGATTTCATATGCATATTGATTGTGAAAGTTGAAATGCATCTAAATCTCAACAACGATTTCACCAACAATCTAACAAGCACTTCCACCAACAGATCATCAGTAAATTGGCATAGGTCAACCTAGTTACCGTTCTGATGTGAGACAACTGTCCTTTGCTTATTTTCATTTTGAAGGGATTTTAACATGGACATGGCTGGATTTGAAGGAAAGTTAAGTACGAGGAAGAAAAAAAGGAGAGACAGAGGATTTGTGTTGTTCTGTTTAAAGTTTTATTCAACTGGACTATGACAGAAACAAATGCTAGAAAGAAAAGAAAAGAAAAAGGCAACAACATTCCACATCTACACAGGCACATTTGGATTGTATTTGGAAGCAATAATAATTCACCAAATATACTCTGTAGCCTTAATTAAGGTATTCCAATCTTACAGATTGTCTTCCTGTCAGACAACCGAAAATAATAATATAAGAGTTGTAAGACAAAGGAGGAAACTATTAGGAAGAAGGTTGGTTCGGCCTTATTAAACAAGTGGGAGGAGAATAGAAACAGTACCACAGAATTTTCTGTCTCTTCAAAGAGTTTCTTTCAGTTCAAGTATTACCGACATGAATCCTGGAAGACTAAGAATCACTTTTAAGCTCCGATTGTTTAGGCAATATGGATCCTGAAATGAAAGACTTGAAGAGTGTGAGAGCTTGCTTCGGACGGTGCAGGGGAACTTCATGCCCTGCACCTCTTACAGTAACAAAATTGAGCCCTTCATATTGCTGTGTCCATCCACCAACCTGTTCAAATGTTCAATCAGACAAAACCCGGGACCGCAAATATAAATGTGACAGGATGTTAATGATTTTTTACCTTTACAGTCAACAGAAAAAACACATGAATTTACCTGCCCATCATCATACCAAGGACGCCAGGGTCCAACAGTTGGGAGCTTTAGAGCATCTATACTATACCGAGTGGATGTAACTGGAAGCACAGCATCTGTGTCGCCACTGTCATGAAATTAAAAATGTTAAAAGATATTATATTCAAATGATTATGAACGTTCCCTCCTTCAATAAGAATACTTCAAATGAGCAACTCACAGGGAGACAAACATTTTGACACCTAATTCTTCGTAATCAGTCAATTGTCCGTTAAGAGCCTCACATGTAAAACTACTACAACATAATTTGGATATATATACGATTATCTGTTTGATGGCTGATACTGAGACCTTGAACAGAGAAACAAGTCACTACAGTATTTCTCCTCAAACTCTCTTGGCCTGTTTCTGCATTTGATATGGAAAGACTCCTGATGTCGTACTGTCAGGACCTTTACAAAGTATGTTCTTAATATAGGCAAATAATTTTGCTATTATGTAATTTAAGTTCAAGTTTTAATTATTGTCAAATAATTAAAGCAAGTAGACGAGATGTAGAGGAAGTTCATAAATTAGCTTATAGTAGAATGCATTGTAATAGAATAGGTTCTTATTAATATACAGGAACCTTATCAAAAAAAAATATATATATATATATTGGAATTTCAATGGATTCAAAACTATCTGGCTTTTTAAACCAGATCAGAGAAGGCATGCATATTGAATTCTAGCTTAGCATAGAGATTAACCTGAAGACCCAAATTCTGACCCCAACATGGAGAAGTTCACGGTAAATGTCCAGGACTGAACGTGGTGAATCCTTCCAACCATTATACACCTCATCACTGCAAATCAATAACAGCACAGGTAAACAAGTTGCTTCTACAATATTTGCAATAGATATAAAAAGAAAATTGTAAAACCTTATAAGTTGCTAGAATGTAATATGTCTCTAGAACTACATTTAGAACTGGAGGGCACGCTTGACAAAAACATGCAGACCAGAATAATAGAAAGTCATTGCACCATGAAAGAAACTTAGTATGTTCCTATATTGACAACACAACGAAATTGGGATGAGACTGTGATTCTTGATGTAGTAGGTGCAAGAGTAAAAGTTAAATGGCAGTCTAGTGTTGAGGAACCCTGTAGCTCATGAAGCTAGAAAGTTCCAATTCTATGAGAAAAATCTCAATCTCAATATACCAAGCAGGATGCTATAACCAAAAAGAAATAAAATAGAAGATAGGGATCAAATTGTGCTTACAGCTCTCTAATTCCTCGTGTCAGCTCTACAGTAAGCCACAATAAATTTTAATTCCTCCGTTATAATTGGCCGAAATCCCACGAAATTCTAATTAGAACTTTCTAATTGGACTTTGTAGATTTATATAAACCCTGTAAATTTAGATAGAAATACCTGCAGGTTACCCATTTAAATGAACTGCTTCTGTTGTAAACATGAAGTGCCCTTTGAACCTCAGGAAGATTGAAATAAATTGTTGAATGCTGCTCTGTACACGGGTCATATTGTCTTCTGATGTTCCCAACCTTTTTGACAAGGCATCAAATTCAGTACAAACTCAACAAAAGATACAACAAACAAGAGGGTATGAAATTTAAGCCATTTTCGACTAAACATCGAGTTTTCACTACAACTTTCTTGACACTAGAAATCTATATTGAAAGATGCGGATACCTATAAAAGAACATGAAGACTTATGTATATGTAGCTTGCAAGTCTAAGTTGTGAACAACTGAGCTTACAGTTAAAGAACTAAACCAAAATCAAGATAATTTTGACATCAAGGTTTTAGGAACTTCGGATTTTACAATAACTAAAAAAGACATGCATTATCTTAATGCTTACAAAATGAAAATCAACTGACATGGTCTAATTGATGTTCTTAGTTATGTTAATTGAATAACATATTTCACGAACAGAGTGTAACTATATTTCCCCCACCAGAAACCTTAACTGAAAAAAAAATTTCATACACTACAGTAAGCTAGGATCAATCTAGTTCAAGAAACAAGAAGTTAATCAGCATTTATATGAATCAAACACAAGCACATACAATCTCAAGTCACAAAATTCATTTACATAGAAGAGGTTAAACTCACAAGAACTAATACAGGGCACTTACATTCCGCCTTCTCAGAATCTGATTCAGCATGCTGAAATTGGCGGTGCAAGCAGGAGTAAACACACTGTACTGATCAATATTTCCAATTTCTTTATCAGCAATGTCAAGAATACCATCACATGGTTCTGTACTACGTATAAATGACTGGAAGTCACAGAATATGTTTAGCTTCTTGAATGTCTGATCAGATATCAGACCAGTAGACCACAAATACTGAAAAAGCCCCACGTGGTCATGAAAGTTATCAAATAAAGCATTTCCGACCTGCATTACAAGTGTTAAAGTTACCACTCCATCCAAAGACATCACAATAATTACAAATTGTAACCCAACTCACCATGAAGCCCTTGAAATTAATAATCTTTTCTTTCTTTGCGAGGTTGTAATGCACTATGGCCTGGCTTAATTGAGGCACATAATGTCCTGAAAAAAAAATAAAATAAAATAAAATAATGAGATTTTGTAATCTTGACAAGTTATCATAGAACTATTAAGCCATTCATAACATTAAAAAATTAGTATAGACAAAGAAAAGGCAAAGATGATGAATGTAGGACTGGATGGTTAAGACATGAAAATCCTGATAAGGAATCTTTCATCAAGACATCTATACCAATTGCAATAAGAAATCAATAAGATGAAACATTCATGGTTGAAGTCGCATATTTAGATTTTATATCATTGAAAAAGTTTTATTGTTCCCGCAGCCTATACTGGTAAATAATAGATGGATATATAGGTATATCATATGGAATATTTTATACAAGATATAGAAAAACTGTGCATGTACGGGAACTGCATCTTGCAAAGAGCAAACGACTTAACCAAAGACAGCGAGTAATTGAGATTCATCTCCAGCAATGAGATTTCCCAACAAGAAGTGCGACGGGGTACTCAAATGGCAGACTTTCATGAGTAGTTTACTTGTAGTGCAGTTGAATATACAAAGATGGATTTCCAGGATATAATCTAAGTTGAACTCCGGGGACACCCGTTTAAAGATGGCTTCACAATGGTTAAACAATGGCACCGAAGTTCATCAAATTTGAAGGGATTTTCAGCAAGATAAGTTGTATGATAGACTTCATTCCACTTCTACCTAATAGGAAATTTCCAACTTTTGCTCCAACATATAAACACCGTCTTTTACCTTTTTTGCTCGTGATGTTTGCAGTCCATATACAGATTTGATTTCATTAATTCACAATGATGACAAAACTGGCATATGTGGTGGTTTACTGGATTGACAAATAGTAGAAAAATCTACCTGCATAGCTCTCTCCAGTGATATAGAACTCCCTTCCTTTATACTGAGGAAAACGCTCAAACCACTTCACAAGAAATGCAAGGGAATCCGCCGCTGCAAGGTAAAATGTTGTTAGGAAGACATTTTTTGAACGATAAGGAACCAAAAGGAGAAACACTAAAACTAAGAGATACCAGTTCTCTTGTCGCCATTGGTCTTATGATCAGAGGACGTGTTAGAGTATGAATATCCAACTCCAACCGGAGAGTCCAGGAACAGCATATTTGCAACTGCAAGAATGCAGCTGAATCAGGTAACTTTTTTCCTGAAACAAACTTCTTGTAACTGCCAAGGAAGTAGGGAAGCCAACAAATATTTAATAAATACGGCCCTGCTTTTCACTGCCAATTCATTCTTCAGGTGGTGGAGGAACTAAGCATTACGTTCACACCCTATTATTCTGCTCCCACTAGTTAATGCTCCTTAAGTAGAATGCTAACAAGACTGGAAAGTAAAAGGTTTCAGGTCTCAAGTTGTTGACACCAGAGATCTCTCTATTTACTAGACGACATGAATGACTCACTAGCCCAAAAGAAAACACAATGTGATTGGATTAGCACCTCCATGATGCCGGGATGATATAGAAAACGCCATTTGCAATTAATACTTTTTGCTTCTATTTATCACCAATTAAGGAACTTCAATGGTTGGTCTTATTAGCTCCTTTCAGACAAACAGCAGTGGCAGTTACAACCACAAGACTCAAGCATTCGTGACAAAGAAAAAGATTGCAACTATCGGATACAAATAGCAGTACGATAAAGCATCTAAGAAGCTTCAGCTGTAGCACATTATCTATACCTTGGTTCCAAGAATACGGGTTCAGATACAGGTTCTTCCCATCTTTCTCAACATGTAATGGTCCAACTTCTTCAGCCACTCCATAAGCAATTGATGAACATCCTGGCCCTGAAATGAAGTTACTGATCAAACTCAACAATCCATTCAAAATGCCAACCAAATCCAATGAGGCAAGCAACATATATCGAAGCCATAATAAAAAAAAAAAAACTCATAAACAGCCATCTGGGTGCAGATGCTCCATAAAAGGAAACTAAGTTTAATACTTTATAATCACAGGTAACCAAATTTGAAACTGGATTAGCTAAATACTAAGCAAATAGATGAAAAAATACAGACCTGTTTAAGAAAACTGGGTACCAAAGGCCAACATACTCCGACAACCATTTTTCCTAAATTGGAATATCCCATAAAACCAAAAATAATTCAAAAGTGATTTTCAGAAGAAATCAAAGAGATGATTTTTACCTCCATTCAACCAGAGAACAACAGGCTTGGAAGAAGGGTCCTCCGCAGCCTCAAAGAACCAATAAAACAGCGCCCTTTCAGCTTCCTGATTGACAGTGATGAAACCAGAATAGTGTGCAAAGCTGACATTGAAGCTTTGGCCTGGAAGCTTTGAGACTCTATCCGCATTTTGCAGGGCATATGGATCCGAAACATCATCTTTTCCGCAATCAGCCAACATTAGCTCATTGCTGACTAACGAGATCAACATAACAAGAAAAACCCATCTCGAATTTCGCATTCTTTTCCTTGATCTTAAACAGGACAAAATTTGGGAGGAAGCGGGATTGGTTGGAAAAGGGGCGGTCTTGTAAATGGGGGCAGAAGTAAAGTAGTGATTTTTACCGTTATTTAGTATTTTCTTTTCTTCTCTTTCTTTTTTGTTTTTTATTTCTTTGGCCATTCTCACATAAAGTATGGGGCAATTTTCCTTTTGCTGAATTTGGTATTACAATTCTATACATTTTCTAGCTCTTCAATTTCAATACTTTTTTTTTGTCAAAAGCGATAATAATATTTAATATTAAAAAGAAATGTAAATCAACCATATGATTAAGCAGTACAATACAAGGATTGAGTTACACAATCCGATGATTGAGCTAACACAATCTACCATACACCACTTCTCAACTCACAAAGTAGGAGACGTGCCACTATCTGTGTACAAGGTTAAGAAGATTAAATTGGACAGATTGAAACAACTTCTTTAATAATTAAAGTATGGAATTCCAAACAAATACAACTTCAATTTCAATACACTGGTACAGAAATTAGTACAAATACAAGTTTAATTCCTGTCTCTTTGAAATTGAAATTGCATAGCAAGTGATGGCTCATACTCCCTCGGGTTCTTAATATAAGTTGATTTTGTCATATATTTTCCCTGATATGCATTTGTAAGTGTAAGAAAATTTTAAAAATATATTTTCACATTTGTTCTGTTCTTTTGATTGTTAAGAAATATTTTTCAAGTTCTTTTGTCAATTAAAAATGCATAATAAGTGGACAAATTAAAATTTCTTATATTAAAGACCGAAGAGAATAGTTTTTTTTTTAATATATATATATATATAGTTAAAAAGAAGGGTAGCAAGCTTTATATTATGCATCTTGCATTAATAATCACATATTCGATCTTATTAAATATGAATGAGTATTCGTTTTTATTTTGGATTAGTGGCCACATGTTCACAATCTTGTTATGGATGGATGAATTCTTTTCATTCGACACCGTAATTGTTTTTTTATCTCTCTTGTGGTGAAACCAAAATTTGATACGAAATAAATTGAATCACTTGTAAAAAACGTGCATAACTTGTGCAAATCACTTTGTAAGAGTGGAAACAACATAGTTAGAAAAATTCACAAAAAGAGAGACTAGTAACCATAAACGAATATTTTTAGAAGCAAATAATAATATATATAATTACATTTATAATTTCATACTAAAACTTATTCAAAAAGAAAACAAATCCTTCCTCCTCGGTCCCATATAAGCAACATATTCTCCGGCGAAATTCGGATCGCTTATGATAGCATTCCACGATTTTGAGACGCATTTACATCTAAATATTGAATCCAATGGCACCTGAACAAAATTTCCTTCACAACACTTTTTGGGAGTTGCTTTCTGCTGGACATGTCTCCATCGATATCCTCCCTACTTCCCTTCAAAGGTTTGTAATAATTTTTTATGAAGTTAACGGCCAAACAAATCGGCCGAAAGATGGCAAGGGCAACATTTTTCTATTCTCTCTATCCTCTCCCACTGGTTTGATGATTAGGGTTTCCTCAAATTGAACAATTAATAACTCTCTCTGGAAGAAGAAGAAGATGATGATGATGATGATGAATAAAACAGTGGTAACAACAATATAGTCCATATTTCTAGGCCCGGTGCTCACTGGTTTCATCCCATTACAAGCAAAATTTCCAAAACCCTAGATTTCCTTATCCTGTAAGTAACGCGTAACAATGTGATCCGCTAGAGTAAATTAATTTTAGTTTTACCTTTATTATTATTATTATTATTATTATTATTATTATTATTATTATGCTAATCCCTTCTTTCTTTTTTTAATAAAGAAATCAACTTTATTACATTAATTATTTTAGTTTTAAAAAATACAAAACTTTAACTCTGGAACTCGATGGAATAACTATAATATATATTGGTTATTTACCTTATTAGTGACACTTTGTTGAGATCATCTTGAGTGTACCCGATACCATGATAGACTCTCTCCTATTTTTTATATTTTTAGTCCTTATTATACTTTTTTCTCTAACTTCTTATGTTTTACACGTTTAGTCCTTGTCATTTTTTTTCTCTCTTCATAAAATAACTCTAATTTTCAAACGAGCATATCTCCCAATCCGTGAGTTGAAATTCATAATACTTATCGAGATCTATCCAACAAGATCCATATCGAATATTTTTTTTCGAACTTAAAAATGGCTAAATTTTGATGGGCAGAAATAAGATGGATATCTAGTTTAAAAAGATGGATAACCAACTTATTTTATATGGATATTCTTATATTGTACATATTTCATGATCCGTGAAAAATTTTTAAACGAATTATATATGAAAATTATAGTAGTCGACGTGATCTATTTAACAAGGTCTATATCGAATATTTTTTTCAAGCTTTAAACGCATTTAAATTTTATGGGCAGAAATGAAGGAATATATTTTTTTAAAAAAAATATTTATCTATTGTGTTCATACTGATTACCCAACCAGTTTGAAATGGTTATCCATTTTGTTTGTACTAGTTATCCAATTATTTTTAAAAAAAAAAAATCATTGTCCAATATGTTCCCACCGGTTATCCATTTTGTTCACACTGATTATCCAACCACTTTGAACTGATTATCCATTTTATTTATATTGGTTATCCAAAAAAATTTTCAAGAATGGTTGTCCAATGTGTTCGTAGTGACTATCCACCAACTTGGTACTAGTTATTCAATCATTTTTTTCTATTCTTTTTTTTTTACAAAAATATTTGTCCAGTTTGTTTGTACTAATTATTCAACCGTTTTGTATTGATTATCTAATTATTTTTTTATTGGTTATCCAAATAAGTTTGTACTGCTTGTCCAATCATTTTTTTTCTTTTTCTTTCTTGGAAAAATGCTTGTTCAATGTGCTCATACTGATTATCCAACTGCTTGATATTACTTTCCCATGTAATTTTTTTTTTTTGTTTTCTTTTCCTATGAAAGATTTCCAAATCAGTTTTTATTGGTTATCCAATCATTTTTTTCCGAGAAAATGCTTATCTATTGTGTTCATACTGATTATCCGACCGGTTTGAACTGATTATCCGTTTTGTTTGTACTGGTTATCCAATCTCTCTTTTTTTTTTTTTTTGAAATCATTGTCCAATATGTTAATACTGATTATCCATCCAACTAATTGGTACTGTTTATCCAACCTAGTTTAAAGCGGAGGGAATGTCAAAGAGAATTTAAATCGAGATGCCTACACGTTTGTTTTATCTTATACTTATCCAGCGTCTTTCTACTGAATATTCATTATGTTTGTACTGCTTATCCAATCATTTATTTTGTAAAAAATGGTTGTCCAACATATTAACAGTGGTTATGCAACTGAATGGTACTGCTTATCCAGCCGTTTTTCCTCTTCTCGGCCCATTCCTTTCATTCTACTTTTTACGAAAGTTCTTGTCCAACTTGTTTGTACTGACTATCCAATCGACTTGTATTGGTTATTTAATTATTTTCACTGCTTATCCAAACAAGGTTTAGATCCGATCTTTTTTTTTTTTTTTGAAAAAAATGTTTGTCCAATATGTTATGTTCATACTGAGTATCCAACATTCCAACTTCTTGGCGATGGTTATCCAACCTTTTTTTTCCTTACTCTTTTTATGAACATGATTGTCCGATTTTTTATACTGGTTATCCAACCAATTTGTACTGCTTATCCAATTATTTCAGTGATTATCCAAATAGTTTGTAATGCTTATCCAATCATTTTTTCCCTCTTTTTGTTTTGAAAAAATGGTTGTCCAATGTTTTCATACCGATTATCCAACCAATTTGCACTATTTCTCCAACTTTTTTTTTCTTTTAAATTTTTTTTTGAATATCCTTGTCTGATTTGTTTATGCTAATTATTTTACCAATTTATAATACTTGAAGTGATTATCAATTTTGTTTGTACTGTTTATCTAATAGGAATATACGATCACTTTGATGTTTTTGCAGGAGATAAATGATTTTAGATGTATGCATTTTTTTTTATATTAAGTATCTTTTAGCGATATTTTTGAGCATTTTTTGTGGGATATCTAATGCCTTTGAATATACATATCAAAGCATCCTCCGCCATCACATCATCCCCAAACAACTCATCGTTGTTATCTTTTCCAGAAGTTGAGAAAAACAAAAAACAAAAAAATGCCGGATACACCAATCCAGTATAAACAACTCAAAATGTTAGGATACCCAATACAAACAAGTTGGATAACCAGTACGCATAAGTTGGATATGCATATAAATTTGTTAGATAACCAGTACACATAAGTTGGATAGTTATACAAACAAGTTGGATATCCAGTACAAATAAGTTGGATATGCATACAAACCTTTTGGATAACAACTACAAAACAAGTTGGATAGACATACAAACTACATGGATAAGCATTTTCAGAAAAAAAAATATTTTCTTCATTTCTGCCCGTAAATTTAAATGCATTTAAAGTTCAAAAAAATATTCAATATTGATCTTATCGGATAAATCTCGTCGCGTACTATAAATTTTATATATAATTAATTTTCTAATTATTCACAGATCAAGATATATAATCCATCTTATTTCTGCCCATCAAAATTTGATCATTTTTAAGCTCAAAAAAAATATTTGATATAGATCTTGTTGGATAGATCTCGAGGGTACTATAAATTTTATATATAACAAATTCTTTACGGATTGAGAGTTATACCGTTTGAAAATTAGAGATGTTTTTTAGAGGAGAGAGAAAAAAGTCATAGAGACTAAACTTGCAAAATATAAGAAATCTGATAAAAGTATAATAAGGATCATATGTTCCGAGTGCACCCAAGAATTTGGCACTTTGCTTTTCTTTTACTACAGTTCTTGTTAAAGGTTGGTCGACCTGCTTACCCTATAATAAGAAAGCAAAAATTATAGAAGTTTTTTTTCGCAATAAGAATCTAGTAATAAAAGACTCATTACAAAATTTACAGTGTTTGTTTAATATATACACATTGGGTCAATGTTCTGCATGGAGAATCAAAGTTATCTTTTAGTCAGTAAGGTGCTAAATACAACGTGCCTTTATAAAACTTACATTGTGTAACCAAAAATTACACAAAGTTTGTTACAAAATTTTTG